GCTGCAAGTGCTTTCATACAATTCCCCCAACTGCCTGGCGGCTAGAAGACCTCTTTGTTGGTGATTATCTCATTTACTTGCAAATCAGATGGTGTTGTTTGGATCATTCCCTCAGCTGGTGTAATTATCTTTCTTCAGGTGAGGTGTTAGTTCTGAGCCCCACACAGTGGGATATCTGCCTGACAATTGACTTTAGCTTCACGATCACTAATTGTAGCTGATAACACAAAACATTTCTTTTCAAAGGCAAACTGCAAATTTCCTCATTAGATTTTGAAAACTTTGGCTTGAATTCCTTGTTTAATGCTTTGACGAAATCCAAATCCTCCAGCTGTAAGCAAAGCTGGAGACTAAAGAAATCTGTGGGTTCTCTACTTCTACGCAGAATTATAACTTCTTTACACAATGAAATAAAAAGCAAAGTTATCACTGGAGAAGGAGGGCTTGTATAGTTTGTACTGTATATGTTTAATTAGGAGAGCTTAATTTAGCACACTACAAGGCTGGTTTTCAATCTTTTCTTAGACAACATAACCCCAGATTTTATGTAGGGTAATCCTCTTAGGTATCTTTTCAATTGATAGAGCAAATTTACACCATATAAAGACCAGGAGGTTCATAAATTTAATGCTTTTTAAAATTTTAGTATGGCAGAGAAAAGATTATCTTCTATAGCAAAGAAAATAACCTTAACCTGCAGAGCTATAAAGGTTCTGTTTAGGAGGGTGATAAGATCATGTTCTAAAGTGAAACTATTACTAACTGTCAAAACCTAAAACTGCAGCAACATGTCATTAATCTGATTACAGTAGAACTCTGTATCTACATGTTAATCATGCGGAGGTACTTTGAACTCCTTTATTCTGTGCAAAAACTTAGAACAGCCCAGATAAGTGTCGCCTAGAGCTTCCTCATAACAGTACCACATAATTTAAGCATAATCTGGGCCATAATCACCAGGGATTAAATTGTCAAGGGTGTAAACAAGCATGAGAGAGGAATGAATTGCAGCAAGGCATGTTACTGCTGCCCAGCCTACACTCTGTCTCATCCCACCAAACCAAATGGAAAAACACCGACTCAGAAATCTCTGTTATCCCACCGGTCAGGGTGTGGACCCTATCCAAAGGTCCCAACTGGGTGCCTAGGTGAGGACTTAGCCCATGGAGTTGAAAAAAAAGCCCCCAAAGCAAAGTAAAACATTTTTGGTTTAACTAACATAACGTGACCGTCAATTCTAAGACTTTCAGTCATAACCTCCTTGGGGAAACGTCGCCAGGGTTGTGTTTTAGAGAGAAATGATTATTCAACACGCAGGCATCTTACTCCAGCAATTACCAGGATCGTAATAACCCCACACATCACTAGGGTCATCATTGTTAACATCTCCTGAAATGCCTGTTCTGAACCAGCTGAAGACTTTCCCAGGCTGTTGCTCCAGGGATCTCCGTAGTGACTCACCATAATCTAGAGATCATTTTGCCACACTGGCAGCAAACTGGCCAACAAATAGAAAAACGTGAGCTGATGAAGCACTGAAACACAAATATTTTTTTTTATGGCAAGGAGTAATGAGTATTTCCAGGGCACAGAGCTCCATCCTGACTTTTTCCGATGGACTGCTGCCACCATCAACATGAACTTTGTCACTGTCCCAGCTTCTCCACAGTAGTTACACCATGCTTTTTTCTCCATCCACAAATAGGCTTTGGTCCGCACGTACATGATGTGTTGTGGTTAGATATGATTCTGAATCATGTTTAACTCCAGAAGTGCACGTTCAAAAGAATATTTTCGAGTTAGGTCTCTCTAGCTTTCTTATTTGGCACACATCTATTCTTACACCACTTGAGAGCTTGGTAATTTTGTAGGCTGGCATAGAAGCATTACAGGGAGGGAATAGTAACTTACATCATAGGAGGATCTACCTCCTATGCATTACCTTTGCAAAATAATATCTTTTGGTTCATTAGCATGTCTTACTGACTCAAGTTTTGGAAACTAAAGAGTATGGCCTTGAAGACTTGCAGGGTTGATTCATGTGCAAAGATAAAATCTTGATGAGGAATATGGCGTCGTGAGCACTGTGCTTGCCCAAATGTGTGATGAAACGTTCCTGACTGCTTTGAAAATGTTGCTTGCTCAGAATAGAATATTTGTTGATACTTGTCAATCTTATTAAGACATTCGCAGTATTGGCATTTTATCATAGCTGTTCTAAATAATAACCATAGGCACGGGTAACCGGGTGCATTGCTCAGGGCCAGGTAACCATGAAGAGGAGTGACAGGAAGGTGAAGGCTTCTGCACTCACTCCACAGGGCTTTTGTGGGGCCCCACACAGATCCACGGGGCCCAGACTTTCCAAAACTTTCATATTTAACAAGCTGTTTTGAAAGTTTGCCACTTACTGAGTGTCCCTACATCAGCTGGAAATATGAACAAATTCTCCTCTCACCCCCTTTTTTTTTTTTTCTTTCCTTATCTAGCTATTTCTTGGTACCAGGCCAAAAACTGTTATTTCCTTTATATCAGGGTTACCAAACATTAAAACTTACCTGTGAGTTTAGAAAATACAATAATTCATATAAGACGTTTCAAAAAATAGCAACAGCTGAGTCTAATCCAAGCTTCGTCGTTTAGCTTTAGGGCAGCAATTATCTGTTCTATAAAAAGTGACATAACAACTGTCTACTTTCCATAAAATCTTAGTGACGGCAAAAAGTGATTGAAAAAAAAAAAACCAGCTGGGAAAGCGATAGGCAGCAGACTTGGCACTGTCTCATTGTGTAAACAGAGAAAGAGATTAAGGGAAGGGACTGGCACAGGCTTATCACTGGGATGATCTTTATGGACAAGATTGATGAAGACTTTGCAGAGGCCACGGCACACCAGCAGCTCTCCTGGGCATATGGTTGGCAGCAAAGACTCTGGACACCAACCCAGGCCACTTTCTTGGCTGGTTCACGATGACCCTGGCCAGGAGCACCTAGACTTGCCTGGAGCACACACCTAGACTTGCAGGCAGGTTTTGC